ATGTAACTGTTGTAAGGTCTATTTTATATTGTTTATGCTTTTTATCTGTATCAGAACATGACATCCCGAGGTTTTGTTATATAATGAAAATACATTTCTTTATGAAATGCTTTGATAAATTTTATCTTATCATATTTTGTTTTGGGGACAAATTCCGCAACTCTTTTAATCAAAGGATTACTCTGATTTTATTTAAAAGCATAAATGAAACCGGTCTTTTCTGGTCGTGATTTTGGGGATGTCACAGTTACCACTCCGCTAGTTGGCTTTACTAAGAATATATATTTAAGTATAATTATATATTAGTTATAATTATATAATAAAACATTAAAACTCCATTCACGAGTATATAGTTAATAAGAAAAGATTGGACTGTATCCATCTAACCTACATTTAGTTCATTCTCGGTTAGTCTGCTTTTAAAAGCACTCATTTCCTTAAGTATATCCCCTAAGAGATGGATACACTAGTAGTGTATAAGATGAATGGGAATTACGGAAACCCTAGTACCTATGAATAGTAGAACACGATCTTCAAATAATTAAAATACTTTTACAACTTTACAAAGTTATATACCAAAAGTATTTTCAAAGAATAATATACAAAACCTGAGAATTCACCAACATTATGTTGACCTCTTAAAACCACATGTACTCTTAGGAAACCGAGTGATGGAAGATTGAACCTCTAGAAGCACTGGTTGACCGTCAAAGCTACCGAAAACTTACTATCGTTATAGCTATTCCTAACTGTTAAGGCAACTCTTGTAGTAGAAACACTAGTACTTCCAAAACATTTTCCGATGTAATGTTTTACCTATAAATGGAAGTGATGTTTATGTTACATATTGTTTTGTACTTTTCAATGTATGTTCAATGAATGTGATCCAACATCCTAACGACGCACAGCCCGGCGTTTCCGCCGCCTGCCGGGGGTGTGACAGATTGGTATCAGAGCTATTGGCTATAGCGAACTAGTACTTCCTTAGGAATTACGAATATAGCCTAGGGACTTATACTCAGATTAGGTTTCACTACAAGAAAAAGTTGAAATAACTACGGAAATTTGCTACGGAAGTACATTCAGTAGTTATTTTGCCACATATTATGCTACAGAATGGCTTGTTGTAGCTATTTTACTATGGAATTTGCTATAAAATTGCATTTTGTAGGTAATATCTAAATAACTACGGAATTTTTCTACGGGATTAAAAACTGTAGGTATTCTACTATGGACTATGTTACAGAATAGTTAGACGTATGTATATGTGCTACGGAATTAGCTACAAAATTATGTTTTGTAGCTAATATTCGGATACCTACGGAATTTTGCTACGTAATCGGAGTCCGTAGTTATCATGCTACGGAATTTCCTAGAGAACTATAAGTCGTAGGTATTTTTCTACAAATTTTACTACAGATCAAAGTTTGTAGTTATTTTCCTGCAAAATTTGTTACGAAATCAAAATCTATAGCTATTATACTACAAAATTTGCTACCGAATCTAAGTCTGTAGGTAGCTTGCTACGACATTTGTTACGGAGTCCAAATCCGTAGATATGTCGCTATAGAATTTGGTACGAGATCATAGGTTGTAACTATTATACTATAAAATAAAGACAATAAGTTACTAATGTAAATATATCTGTTAACTTCAAAATATCTAAAGTTAATAAAAAATTCAAACGGAAATCACATAAAGTATATGTGATGTTAAGTGGTTTTGACTAGAGGTAAATGGTTTTTATTCGGGTGCCGATACATTTCTCCAATAAGAAAATCCCCCTTTTTTTCTTATTTTCACAATTCCGCTTAATAAGAAAATCCCCTTTTCTTTCTTATTTTCACAATCCCGCTTAATAATTCCATGCTCCAACTTCCTGTGAGATTTTCTATCCGACAAATGTAGGTAGCAATGATGACTCTCTTCTCCGACGATTTGATCTCTGACGAAGACATATAGTTGACAGTTCTCGTTATTCCTCCTCTCTATTTCATTATTTGACAACGATTTCCTCTTAAACAAAGATAGATGCTTTTCGTTCTCACTTCTTTAGTGATTTCCTCTCAAACAAAGATTGATACTTGTCATTCTTTCTTTCTCACATCTCTATTTCAGTTTTTGTCCAGCAGTGTCTCTTTTCTACTTACTTTCTTGGAACTCTTATTTCTTTATTTCCTATACAGTTAGAGTGAGTGTGTGTATGAAGTGTGAACTGTTAAGATTAAATTTTTGTAGTCAAACCATTTGTATAATAGTTTTGGATTTGATTAATAAATAGCATTGGGTGTTAGGTTGATAAGTTGTAAGGTAATTTATTTGATTTTCTTTATATGAAATAATGTAAAGCCTTCTGTAAAGATATAACATCCCCCTGTATAACACAAACTTGAGATAAATCATTATATACATTTATTGATTATTATCCTTATCTTTTTATGCATGTAACTCAACATATCAGCACATCAACCGCAACAGCAACATATTAGGCCCAAAAAACCTCTAATCAACATCAGGGGTAAAATGGTCAATGGTATGTAAAATACATAAGGCTCTATCAATTAACATGGTGAATGCAATAAGAGGTGGCAGACATGATCCTTGTGTTGTCCCAAGAGGTTCCTTCTTACCTTTTCATTCTTTTTTACTTAATGGGCTAACTTCTCTGCCATTAAAATTGATGACTTGTAAGGATAAAATGGTAATTTAACCAGTTTACATTTTGAATGTTGCGTCATGGGTGGTTACTGACTTGCTGTTTTGTACATGCATTTGCAAAAGAAATGGACTTTTTTTTGGGATTTGATTAAAAGTTCTTAATTCACTAGTTTTAGAAAAAAAATTCATTGCTATCTTAATTTCTGGCAGGGTTAAGAGGAGAAACAAGATTTTTTTTACAAACTTTCATGTCTAATTTTCATAATATCAGATGTGGTGCAATGTTTCAACCTGCTGAATAATATGCTTCCTCTCAACAGTGTAGGGGCATTTTTGTCAATATGTTTTTCCCCTTTTAAATAATGTATTTTCCCATCTGATTTAAAGTAATTTAAAACAGGCTGTTAAGACATGTCGATTGCAAAAAAAAAAAAAAAAAATCATTTGTATTTTATAAATATATTGCTTATTTATTTTTCAATTTATGTTACTTATAACATCTTACCTAACACATTCAAAGTTATTGCAAATAAAAATTAGATTCCTGCAGTTTTACTTCGACATTCAAAGCTATTGCATATAACACATTAATGGGAAAAATAACAATTATTTTCCAAGTGACCTATGTACACAAAAAAAAAGTTCAAAGACCAAATTAGAACACAAAATGTTAGTCAGTAACCTGTTATACGTGGTCATAATGACATAATCATTTTCTAGAACCCAATATACAAAAAAAGAAGCTCTTAACTAAATTGGAAAAATTCACATAGTTAGTAAGGTGGATTTTAAGGAAAAAAGAAACATGAAGTAAAATTGATTAGTGTTTGGTACAAAAAAAAGGACATCGTTTGTTCTATACAAATTAATCGTACAAGTTGTGAATTACTACAAATCTGAATCTCAAGGATACTAATAATATTCAAAACCTATATTCCCATAAATAATCATAACAAACATAACATGGTTTCATCTTTATCACCACATTACGTAAGTTTTCACAGCAAAGTCATGGCCCACATGAACCAAAATTGAAAATCATCTAAAAGTTGCAGCATCGATTTCTTTGACTACAAAATCATTTTTCTACACATTCCTTATATATATGAAATCATTACCATGTAACCCATATATATTACTTCATATGAATATATATTTACATATATATATCTTCTCATTGATTGTTTGTTACTAAAAATATATATAATAAAACTAACTCTTACACAAATTAAATATTCGAATTTTTTTAATCCCTCTTTCCAATCCCGCCAAACCAAATCTCCCTGTATCTACTCCTTGAAAACCGATTCCCCGTTAATTAGGCATAAATTTCCCACGTCAAGGATAATTTTGGTGGTGGACGTCTGTGTTCGTCCTGCTTTCCTATCGTCTTCTAGGGTCTGTCCGGTGCTTCTTACTATCGTACTCCCACACATTCTGGTAAAATTGCTTTTATTTCTTGCATCTTGTTCCTAATCTGCATCTTTTATAACTATCAATGATAGTAAAATTAATCATGTAGTTTAACTTGTGTTTGTACAATTTCTACATAAATCTGATCGAACTTCTGTAGTTTCTACATATATATTATGATTTTTTTGGTTGTTAACATTATTATACGAAGTTATGTCAGATCAAGTCTGGATGAAATTTTTTTCCTATGCATATGTTAAAAAATAGTAGCAGTTCCTATTCATCTTTATTGCTTGATAATAATTTGTACTTTAGTTTTTCATAGGATATATATCGGTCATTTATCTGTTGTTGTCTGCCATACTTCTTGATTTTATCATATATTTTTATTAGTTTCAATATACCGTGTTTGTTTATGTGTAAACCTTACTTCCTTATAATATTTCATTTCTAATTTGTTATTACAGAAGAGATGTATCCGTTCCCATTGAAAGGACATCCAATAAGGCCACACAAGAATATGCATCAGTTGTTACAAAGGTACACAAATGAACCATCCACCCCTGCATCCACACTGACCATAAGGCCGACAACATCTGCCTCCCCACTGTTTGGTACTCCATCAACCACAATATCCAACCATTCATCCACACCAGCACCATCATTTTCCCCTACATCGACACCAACACTAACACCGACAACATCTACCCCCATAATGTTTAGTACCCTATGAGTCCCTTCATCCACATCAGCCCCACTGTTTCGTACCCTATCAGCCCCTTCATCCACATCATTCACATCGTCATCCCCTTCATCTACAACAACCCCATCATCTGTCCCTTCCTCCACAACAACCACATCGACACCGATTGCTACTGAACAACAAGATGCACAACTAGAACAATGCATGCATATTAAAGTTCGAGCAAATGCGTAAGTGAAAAATACTAATTGATTTTCATATTTTTTTGGTTTAAGTTTGATTAGTTAATATTATCATGCATTTATTTTGTTATGTAGATTATTACCTTCAGGTAAATGTTCGTCCATAATTAAGAAAACATTCCTAGATAAAGTGGACGAAAATGGATATAAGTGGGTGACTTTAAGTGAAGAGACAAAACATTTTTATTGGGAAGAGTTTTAGGTAGATTATTTATTATTATGCTTTTCTGTAATTATTAGACACACCGTCCACTTATTATAACTTAATTTCTATTATGTATTGTAGAAAAAATGCCAGTGGGATGTTGCTATTGGTGACTCAGTCGTCAAGGCTGCTTGGGAACAAAAGGCCAAAGAAAGATATCGACAGTACATCTATGACATAAGAACAAGAAACCCAACTCGTGAAAAGCCATGTCACATAGAATTACAAGTATGGAATGCTTGGAATGCAATATGGAATTCAAAGGACTTCAAGAAAAAATCAGAGCAAAATAAAAAAAACAGGCGTAAAGGTGTAGTAGGTGGAAAAGCCCCACCTACCCATAATGGTGGATCAGCTTCACATCAACAAATTGCTGCTGATATGGTAAGTGTTTTTTTACATATTAATGTTATTTTTAGCATCTTATTTTCATTTCATCTAATGGAGGTATGTTTTAAATTTTTATGGAATATTACATTCATTTTTACTTATGACCACTCTATGGAAAGTGTTATAACATCCTATAATATATGTATAATATAACCACCTTCTTGGTTTATTATTGGTTAATGTAAATTATTAAAGTCTAGTATGATAATTTATTTCTTTCATTACATCTTGTGGTGATCTTTGACATATATTTGGTATTAATGTAGGAGGAATATACAGGAAAAGCTCCGTCATGCTATGAACTATTTATGTTTACTCATACTAAGGATCATGACGGAAAGACAATTCAAGTTGACAAAGCTAAAGAAGTTCATGTAAGTTTATTTGTAATTTACTTGATAAAAGGAATTAAAAAAAAAATTTAGAAATTATATATTAATGCAACATTATCATTGTAGGATTTGTTTGTGTCTCAACGTGCTGATTTGGCATTGCTAGGAGAAGAAGTTCCTGAAAGCGAACTATTTTATACAACTGTTGGAGGACATGACCGTAAAAAAAAGTTTATGGGCTTGGATCATATGGGAGGTCCATTTTTCGTGAAAACTCCTCTCAAACATGCACTTCACCGGATAAAAGTTTTGAAAAACATCATCTCGAGACGAAGATGCAGAAATTAGAGGAAACCATAGACCAACAAAGGATGGAGTTGGATGATGTGAGAAACATGGTTAATGATATGAGAAGCACAAATAATCAGTGATACACTTTTTATTGATTGCATTTTAGGGTTTCTAGTTGAGTTTGAGTATTAGACTAATTTGATTGGTGCTTCGGACAAAAGGGTATTTCATTTGATGATAAACTATTTTTTTGTTAAGAATTTTTGTAATTTCTTTTATTGTTATTGCAATTTCAGAATCTTGATTTTGTTATAAATTTGCTTCAGAAAAGAATTGAATCATTTTTGTATGTTTTTTTAACTAATCATGTCACAATTTTTTATTATTGATATTTTTACAGAGTTATTATGGATAATTTTACGTTGTTATTATGTAGTTGAATTATTATGAATTTTGTTATGGAATCTATTACGTCATATTTTTCTACAACGGAAATATGTTTTGGTAAATTTACTATGGAATATTTGCAACAAAAGTATATTGTAGTAAATTTTCTATGGAAGTAGATCGTAGTTTACTACCAACTATCTGCTACAAAATTAGATCGTAGTAGATTCACTATGGAATATTTGCTATGACATTACCCGTAGTGGATTTGCTATGGAAATTAGCTACGGGCATGGTTTGTAGTTAATTTGTGACAGATTAACCATGGATCGGGTCGTAGGTAATTTCCTACGGACGTGCTACAGAAAACAATTGTAGTTAATTTGTGACAGATTAACTACGGATCGTGTCGTAGGTAATTTGCTACGGACATGCTACGAACAATAATTGTAGTTAATTTGCTACGTCACTGCTACGGATATAGTTTATAGGTATTTTACTACGGAATAAGTCTGTTGAAAATTCCGTTGCGAAGGTCCTACGGATTCCGTAACAAAAGTTTAGTAACGAAGATTTTTGCAACAGATGGGTTCCGTTGCAAATTCTGTCTCTAATCACACTTAACTACGGAATATCATGTTTTAGCTACGAAATTTTTCTGTAGTTATTTCAGATTTTTCTTGTAGTGTTTGTCCTCAAAACTAAAAATAAAAGTATTATTGTTAATTACATTACTGATACACTACTTATAGGAGAAGTGTCTAGTTTGAACTGTCGCTTAGGTTGCTGGATTTCAGAACGGCTATATGCTAAAATGATCCTGCCCTCCGACACTTCTCACCTGGATGATCCTTACTTGATAGTCTTGAAGTACAAAACAAGAATTAATTAAAACACATAACAAAACATCAGATATAAAGTTATAAACTCAGTCCCTCGATGAAAAAACACCTATATATACAACGAAATCTATAAGAACCTAAACTCAAGAGTTTAGGTCAAATACGATATATGAGATTAGCACAATATGTGGGCCAAACCACAACTAGGCATAACTTGTACACCTATGATTAATAACGGTTAGACTGACATACAACTAAACTTTGATATAGAAATTGATAGACTAAACTCTCGAGAATCCCATAGAACTTAGAACCCAACGATTCACAACATCACTATCTCCGAAAGATAGCACGGTCATCGCGCAAGAATGACAGATCTTGGAAACAGGGTAATGAAACCATTTCCAGAGAAAGATAAAGTTCTGTCATCCCCCTTAAGACCAAGGATACCCATTTTTCCTGAGCTTCCCATACCTCTATTTTCTTTAACCCCCGATGACGAACCTCACAAGGAGGACGGTTTCTCAGAAACAACTAGAGAGCCAACCGAATCATCATAAGATCCCTCTGAGGACCCTTCAGAGTCCTCTGAGGAGGATGATCCTGTTGAGGAGGATACAGATCCCATAAAGAAAGAAATTGATTTCTCGCATTATGTGAATAAGAAGGCCAGAAATCAACATAGGATTTGCTACCTATCCCTTTCCCTAGAATCATCACATAGTTTCTTCATGCCTACCCTAGCCACTTACACTACGCGTCACATCAATAAAATCAATGATGAGTTGGGAATCATCTAAAGAAGTGCCATCTCCGGTCTAATACGATCCAACGGTTAGATGAGGAGCTAAGACTTGATAAAAGGATTAAAGCTCCAGGCACAAGTTGTAGAGCAAAAGTCATCACCACAAAGGCAAGAGCTTGTACGACAAAGATAAGAACCCAATTAACTCAACAATATCTCCCTAACTTAGTACGGTGGGCTTACAAGTTATGCCATAAGATCTGCGTATTATAAGAAAGTCGTTTATACAAGAGAGAAGTATCATCGCTACAGTGTTTTTAGTACATAGAAGTTTTCCACCCCTAACCTAGAAAATTTTGTGATATTTATTTTATACTAACTCATGCGTCAAATCGTTACTATATGCATCTACAAAAAGGTGTCGTTGACTAACACTCCCTCTTTCACTAAACTATAATAGGATCCAAACGTGCCTCAAATAAGAGTCACTAAAATGAACCCTGGGGAACAACCAAACCTTGACCTAGTAACCATGGACGCAACAACAGTCGAGGAACTGATTGCCCAAAGAGTCACAAAAGCCCTAGCTAACCTTAAAACTAGTAGAAATGTCGGATCCAGACAAGGAGGAGGAACCCGAGGAGATAATACTCAGGGTGGTAACGGAGGTCACCCAAGGGCATGTATTTATAAGGAATTCATGAACTGTAAGCCCAAAACCTTCTACGAAAATGAAGGCTTAGTAGGAATGACTCGATGGATCGAGAAGATGGAGTCAGTATTTGAGATTAACTTTTATGCTGAAAATTGAAAATTAAAATTTGTTGCGTGTACCTTCGAGGATACATCATTGTCATGGTGGAACAACCATGTCAAAACCATGGGAATTAGCACATCTAATGCCATCCCCTAGGATGAACTGAAGCACCTGATGATTAAGGAGTATTGTCCCAGAGAGGATATGCAAAAGCTAGAGCAAGAGCTTTGGAACCTTGCCATGCAAGATGAAAAAATTGCAGCTGAACCAAACGCTTCAATGATCTCGCTATATTATGCCCTAGCCTTGTCACCCCGAAGCATAAAAAGGTAGAAAGGTACATATGTGGATTAGTCCAACCTATTCAAGGGTTGGTCACTGCATCCAGACCAACTACGATAGCGTCAAGAGGGTGGCCTTTAACCTGACCAGTCAGGATATCCGCCAGGGCACTATGATCCATAAAGCTGAACTTCTAAGGTATATAAACAGCAAGAGGAATTCTGATGATAACTTAGAATAACCACTAAGGAGAAAACAAGACTTATGGAAAGTTTACCTAGTAACCATCCCATCATCCGCTCCACTAAGACAATATGTTGAATATCTTCCATTGTGTGGGAAGTGTAACTATCACCATGAAGGTGCATGCAGAGAGCTAATATGTAACAATTATGGTAGGAAGGGCCACACCCCTAAGTCCCGTAGGAGCCCAACCCGTGCCAAAAACCCAAGAACTAGAAATTGCAACTGCTATGAATGTAGATAAATTGACCACTTCAAAAGAGACTGCCCTAGATTGGAAAATCAAGGGGGTAAAGCTCGGGGAAGATCAGTTTTCATTGGAACAAATAACGTTACCCATAACTCACTCCTATAAATTGGTACGTCCTCACTAAATAACTTGCGTACAAACTAAAATGACAATATAGGTTTGTGAACAATAGATTTAAACACTCGTTAAAACATAAAACTGATAAAAGCTAAGAAACACATGCTATTAATTATTAGGAGGATACGTAGGTTACATGATTCTAGAAATAAATAGTTTTAGAAAATGTGATTTAGCTCTATTGCCCAACTCTCGTCTGAGTCCAACCGTAATAGGGATAAATCATACGGTCGAACAACTGTTTAAATCGTATAAAAATATAGGCTAAAAATGAATTCAAAATTAGCCAATGCAACCTAAAAGAAAGTTGTAGTACTTGTCAAGAGTTACACGTGGATATAAAGAACGTCCAAAATGGAGCTCGTATGAGGAAGTTATGGATTTTACAAAATCAACGTTTTACGCAGCGCGCCGGGTGCGTGACGCGTACTTCCTGAATATTCTAGAAGGATACGTGGACCACCAGAAAGCTGACATGTGGCACCCCAGACACCACCCATTTGTGTGGCGTGCCAGGTGCACATCAAACTTTTTGCCTACAAAAGAGTTGCAAACACCCCTCATTTCTTCTCACCTTATTTCATTCTTTCTCTCTCGTTTCCTTTGAAATCTTCACCTATTTTGGAACAATATCTTTATATATATATATATATATATATATATATATATATATATATATATATATATATATATATATATATATATATATATATATATATATATATATTAGTTATCTTATTTAATTATACCCTTGAGTCCGACCGATCCTGAGCGCCTCCTGAGTTCCGGACTTTCGAATTCTACTCTACATCAACGGCTTCATGCTTCAAGGGCGAGTTCACGACCCCATTTTTTAAACCTTTTCGAGGGGGGGGGGATACATGTTAAAATACACATATTACATAGTTATTACAAATTGTATAAGATTAGTTAGATAATTATGCTAATAACATTTGGATAATATTATGTCTGGTAGATACCCTGCCCAACTTTTAAAGATAATATTATGCCTAGTTATTATACTGCCTCACACTGATAGAAAACGGCAAACCTAGTTGTTACGCTACCCGGTTTCCAGGAAACACTGATACTCTTGTAGTTAATATAGCCAAATCTCTAGGGTAACGTAGTACCTAGCCTTTGTTTTGGCCAAATCTCTCGGATAACATTATACATAGTCGTCACTGTGTCCAACTCTCTAGGAAAACACTATACGTAGTCGTTATTCTAGTAAATACTCATAGATAATATTTACACTACGCCGTCGTTATGCTCAATTCAAACGGATAATAGAAATATATGATGTCATCTCTACACTCAACTCAAACGGATAATAGAATATATTATGTCGTCGCTATGGTAAACTCGAACGAATAATAATAATATATTATGTCGTCACTATGCTTGAATCAGAGGGATAATAGTAGTATATTA